GGGTCTGTTTGATGGCTGTGACTGGGCTCGCAGCCAATCCTAGCTGGGATAAGAGCTGCAGCATACCGCAGCTCAGCAGCACATCACTCACTATGCTGATATTAAACCATCCAGATCTACTATAACGCCCCTACACACTGCACTGTCATCAACAATCTTCTGGATGTCTTTAGATGATTTCTGGGTGATGACAACAAGATATTTTTTCATGTTTAATCTTAAGGAGAAATTTGTTGTTGGTGAGAGGAAGAAATTCTTCATCCTAGTGCTGTTGCAGAAGAAGAGTGCCAGTCAGATCTCCAACGGTGGGAGAACGTGGATGGAAATTAATGTTGTTTCATTGTATTAGAAATGAAGAATGTTCCAGTTCTCCTCTTGCTCCACGCAGAACTGGATTGTTTCAATCTGGTCCACCCCCCCCCCTTTTTTCATCAGTAGCAGACGAGAGAGTCGCACGTTAAAGTATTGTTCAGTCTCAGTAGTCCCCTGACGTCACTGATCCTTTATCTGACTTGGAGTTAGTGGCATGTTAGAACTAAGGAAGTGGTCCGAGTAGCGGCTTAAACATGCTTGCTATTGATAAATCCATGATGCTGTCCTTGGTGCTAGGACACGCATTTGTAATTGTGACTTTTTCTCTCAGCCCCGTCCATCCGTCAGTTTCATCTTCAATCTATACACTATATAGACCTTGTGATCAAAGTGATCTATTCCTATAATATCTCTATTATATGTCTAGGATCATTCAGCAATGTCTGTGCTGCTGGAAATATGCCTCCAGACCCATGCGGGGTTACCCTAACCCTCCTATTGGGCCATACCTCCTAACTAAATCACTAACCGAGTAGAAGTATAAAAAAGTATACATATATATATATAAGTACTCAAATAAACTAGTATCTCAACATTTTAATAAAGTACACTACTGAGTAACTGTACTTGGTTACTTTCCACAACTGAATGAATGTAATGAGCAGAGTGCATTGGTTGTGTGAGGCAAGGTTTCGTTAAATAATGCAACGATGGTGCAATATTGAAGAATGTGGCTTTATGTGTGGGACAGAGTGCTGGGATGTCTCTCAAACAAAAGGTCTTTGTGGAGTTGAAGTGTGAGGAATGATAATGGGCCAGTAGAGTAGTCTGCCTCTTAAGAGAGCTAAATTTACAGTTTGGGGACAGTGAGGCAGCTAACAGGCGACAGGAAGACGGGGACAAAGACAAGCCTAGAGAGCTCAAGGCTGTACATCACAAATCATCCTGTTTCTCTCTCGCACTAACCTCCCAGTGCGCTGGAGCTCAGGGCCACCGTGCCCTCCGTGTTCCTCCGACTCTCCAAGATCTGTCACTCCGTTGGGAACAGGGGGAATCTTCCGCTTTTCCTGTGTGGGTCAGATCACTGTCAGTCAACTGTCTGGCCATCATCAAAAGAACAATAAAAAGCGTGCGTGGCAACTTAAATCTCCACTGAGTCACCAGATGTTAGTTATTCCATCGTACTTTTAACCAAGCTTCAATGATCTCCTGTGCGTGAATCTAGCCTATTCTGACAAAGAGTTCATCAGCATAACAATCTAATTGCACAGTGGTGTGTCATTAATACACCCCAGGAGCTTAATGACAAAGACAAAAAGAAAAAAAATACTTTTTAATCATCTGCAGCAGCTTCCTGTAACATTTCTCTCTCAAACAAGATGGTGGATCGCTTTTTAAAGTAGACCAAAATAACTAATGGAAGAAAAATAACTATTTTTTGGGGGGGGATTGAGAGCAGAACCCTGGGGGGAAGCATCAAAGCACAGAGTACAATGCAGTTGAAATTAGAGGCGAACGCAGATGTTTAAAAATGTCTCAGCAGGCAGCCAGAAGCAGAAGCGGTAATATATACAGAGACTCTCAAACTCTAAACAGTTTCTCAAATACTTCAGTTTAATGGGTGAGCTTTTTGAGATTATTCCTTCAAAAATGGAACCAATCTTCGTAATTACCTTGTGTTACAACTAATAAATAAATAAATATGTACAGAAATGGGCTTCTTTTTCTTACATAAATAGGGGGTTTACCTGAGAGGGCACATTTTTGGGAGGCTCTATTCTGATGGAGGGGTCCCACTCTCCAGGAGGTAACACTGTCACCTGGTCCAGAAACTCATCGATGCCCGCCACCAGGTCATTCCTGTCTTTGGCCTTGTACGCAACATCGTGGAAGATCTGTGGAGCAGATGAAGGGAGACAAAAATATGAGTAAATTGATTTTTGTGTGGCATAAATACAATTAAAATTATTATTTTCTTGTGTTGCATTTCAGTGAATTTACCATGAAATGTTTATTCAGCAGAGGATTATCACTGTATATTTGATCTTGTATATATATATATATATATATATATATATATATATATATATATATATATATATATATATGTATATAT